GGGGGGTTGGAGAGTTTATATAATATTCTATAAATTTTACTGTTTTATATATCACGCCCCTCCTGTAAATCAGCTCAGTTTAGTTGTGCGAGGCTATAGCGTGTTTTCATTTAAACAAATTAAAATTGATTGATGATGAATTCCGCTCCGCGCGCAAAATGAGATTTACACACTTAAAATTATATATAATAATGTAAAAAATTTCATGAAGAAATCGTAAGCTATAGACTTTTTAAGTTAATTATTACCAAATTTGTGTGCGCCAGTTGATGTGAGTCGGCTTACTATACAAAAAGGAGTTGCAAATTTGACTTAAAACGTGCAGGAATGAGACGAATAATGTAATTGTTCAATGCATGCAGGCAAAACAACCTTAGAAAATTCAAAACTGTTCTTCTATATCAAGACTATCGGATAATTGAAAATGAAGCATAGTTCTGAAAAGTAAATTATTTATTCAAACATTTTTGTCAGGAAATCAAGCCGATTCAGTAATGTTGGTAAGACACCGTGACAGCTTTTTTGAGCACGACAGTTGTAATTTAACCACATATCATTTTACTACACTCAACTATGTCTCTATATATTGTACGGTCCTCCTATGGAATCTTATAAGACGGAAATATTTTAACAGTGGAAGAAACAGTCTAATTATCGAAAAGTTTAACAATTCTCACCCAAGGAAAGCTTTACAGGAAGCTTATAAATACCACATAGAAACTCAATTAAAAATTAAAGTTTCTCAGAATATTGGTGAAATTGTGGCTATACATTTAATATTCTATATTTGGCAATGGAATACATATTTTGTGGTAGAATATGTAAAATGTTATATATCTTTATTGATTTTGCATAATAATTATACGAACATCAAAAATTGGCCGTTTTATTTGGAAAGTCCATAACTTACGAATTATTTCTTCATGCTTCATGAATTTTCTCACTTTGACGATGCATTTCCGTATATATATTTGTTGCTAACTTGAATGTGAACAGCACGAGTAAAAGTATTGTTCGAAAGGATTTATGAAATTATGAAGCAAAGGGTGTACATTCCCTGGTGACAAGTAGGGTATCAATTTCTTCGCTTAAACAAATTACTTCTTGTCTTAACCTGCTTATTTCTTCTCTCAGCGAACTTGTTTGATATTCAGATTCTTGTGCTTGAGAGATTAGTCCAGTGACTTGTACGTAGAAATTGTCGCACATGTTTTTCAATTGTTGTACTCTCAATCTTGCAATGCTTTCATTTCTCCTGCTTGTTTCCAGTTCTGTTTTGATATTTCTTTGGACATGTTCCAGGTTGCGGACTGCCTGTTGTAAATCAGTGATGGCAGATTCCTTAATTTCCACGGAAGCAATTAATGCTTGTTTTTGCTCATGGAGAGACTGCATCATTCCATAGGCGTTTGTTAGCTCTTCACCTCCCTGTATTTGATAAGGAAACATGAATTAACAAATTAGTTTATAAACAACTCAAAAACAGAGAATCCGGTTCAATGGGTAGAAGTGGATGCGACTTAATTAATTCTTAAGGATGCAGTTGGCATGTATGGGAAGGTCCCTGAGTATATCAAGAGTTATTTGCTAAGCGTATAATAAGAACGTTCCTAATTATTCGACATGCACAGATCGCTATTTATTATGGGTGATGATGTCAATGTAAGGTGTATGGGTACATATCAGGATTTTGGGCATCTACACTCAATATAACTAATTATAATTAGTTATATTGAGTGTAGATGCCCAAAATCCTGATATGTACCCATACACCTTACATTGACATCATCACCCATACCATCCGTGGACGGAAATTTAGTGTGCATTTTATTACATTTACAAATCTTTTACGGTGGCTACTTTTACCTGTGGTGAATCAGGAAGTAGTCCTTGAATTAATTGGTACTGTCTCGCATTCGCCAAAGCATCTTCAGTTCTTGACAGCTATACAGAAACGAGTACAGTACACAAATTAACAAATAAACTGTGTTTAACCTGCTGGCGCGCATAGACATTCATTTTTCAAGTTTTCTGACTACCATCTTTATTTAATACGTATATAGGTGTTTCGGCACTTTAAAAATTACATGCGCATTCACCGAAATGCAACGTCACATGGCAAATTTACCCCCAGTTATGAGTAAATCCCATCACATACTCTGATTAGATTAGAAGATACTGTTGCAAAGAAACTGCTTGCCAAGTGGAAGCAAAACAAATGTACAGTCAGTGACAAAATCTGTGGATCGGTTAGAAATTGAAATTTTATCTGAAGTGGTTTTGTAGAACTCTCCACATACATCAACATTGAAATGGGGGAGGGGTTTTTACATGTTAATTATTTAATGGAGCTCGAGGTTTTACATGCGCAATTATTTACAGAAATAATCTTTCAGAGGAAAATAATAAATTAGGGGGCATTGGGGCACATTTATGCAACTTAATGGGTTAAACATGCAATCTTCATATTGTAGTTGTTGGACCATTCAGTTCACAAAGCTACTATTATTATATTATAAGGAAATTAAACCTATTCTTGGGTTTCATATGACGTCACAGAAATGACGGGAGGTACAGTTATCAGAGTGAATCGATTGTCCGTTTTATGTATTAGCCTTGAGTTTGTTACCCTGGAACCAGAGGGTATTTATTTTCGCCTGTTTTGAATAACCCTCTGGTGAAATTGGCGTAGTTTTCGGGTTCACATTCCACACATAACTTTCAAAAATGGAAGCAAAGAGTTGATTGGCTGCTGACT